GCGATGTCTTATCGGGAGCTGATAATTGGCGTCTGTCTTGTGTCAGTGACATAAAAGACAGATTTAATGCAACCTGACCATTCAAACAGCAGTCTAAAACTTCTAAAACTTCAGATATGTATCGGATTCAGTACCACATACGAAAGTGACCCAGATCGGATTTGAAAATATTGGATTTGTGCCGTTCACACTGTGACACCATGATCGGATATGGGTCGCATAGGGTCAAAAAAGTCGGATTTGATGCGCTTTTGCCTGCAGTGTGAACGTAGCCTAAGAGGCTCTAATGTAAGTATCCTGTTAATGCTGGTGGTGTCAGTTACACAGTGGACCCGGAGCAAGGACAACAGAGCCAGCAGTGCCCAGTCAGGAATGCATTTGTTACTTGGAAATTCCGACACCACTTCACATTTAAAGAAGAAAGGGATGGGAAAAATCTGACCGTGGAGTTCATACTCTGTTTGCCAGCAACCAAGCTGCTCTCGGCATCAAAAGACTCCACCTCCAACCTAAAGAAACATCTGGGAGTAAGATGTTTTTTTAAAAACTAACGTTGACCACACATGAACAGGCCCTAAACACCATGGAGATGCGCATGCTCTGATGGAGCTTGGGAATTACAAGACGGGACCGTGTTACGAACAAAGACATACGGAAGCGAATAGGCGTAGCCCCAATTAAGGAAAAGATGCTTGAGTCCCGCCTGAGGTGGGATGGACACGTGATTCGAAACGATGAGAACTCTGTAGAAAAAACGGCTATGATGATCAACCCAGGAGGATGCACCTAACAGGTGGAACCAAATGTTTGGTCACACCTGGTAAGACCAAAGGTGGGGAAAAAAACAGCCAAAGGCTGGACAAAAGTCCCATTGATTAAAATGAAAATGTTCACCAACGTCAGAAAAAAATTATTTTGCAAAGTGAATAATCAACAAAAATAAATTGTATTGAAACATTCAACACAATAACTTTTATACAGTTATCTATTTAAAGTTGGTTTTGTCTTTTTACCTTTAAAGACTTTAACTGAAATACATTAAGTCACAACAAAAGGTTTCTACTTCTATCTGTGTCTGTTACTGTGAGCAACAGCGTTCTTCTTCCAAAAAATACACAGCAAAGATACAAGTACAAGGTGTCTTGATGACATTTGATGTGATTTTATCAATTTTCTTTGTGCTGATACAGTGTTAGTTCATAACAAGTAAAAAATGGAAACAGACCTAACAACAAACAAAACAAAATCTATCTATCTATTTATTGTTATGGTCGTCATGCACAGGTGACAGCCGCAACATATGGTAAAGTTTAGAGAAGAGGCTTCAGATATCCAGCCAGGTAACAAGTAACAGTAGTGACGTAACAAGGCATTCAGCTAGATTTAAGCATTTCCTTTAGAAAAACACATTTCAGACACAAGCTTCATGCAGGGATGACAATCAAAATGCATCAGTGTTGATAGCAGTTCCCCCGCAGGACAACATCACCTTCACAACTTCACACAAATAACAACCAGTCTCTCCATAAACACAGCATATATGACAATGGTTGCATATTATGACATATTATCACAGTGAGAGAGGACACACCAGATACCAAGTTGGGATACATACATCTCAGGTTATTATTTAGACAAGTCAAGAGGTACATTTTTGTCATTTTTTAATGACACACTTTATTTTCTGTGCTTATAAGTAATACTTTATCAAATTTGTCATGAAGCCTGACATTTGAAATTTTACTGTAAAGTTTTCAGTTAAAGTTTATAGTTTTAGTGTTTTCTTCATGCTTGCAGACAACACAGAGCTTACATAATTTACATAATTTCCTAGGGATTAATAAAGTATTTTGATGCTGATTAAAGTTGCAGAACAATATATGCATGATGTATTCTTTAATAAAGGCAATATGTCTATGTTGGTTCTCAATCATCCTGTTAATGGTAGTCTAGGCAGCGTGGAAAGAAAATTAAATAAGTCCAGTTGCTTTCTTTCCACGCTAATAGAGACATTTAAATGATGTGAGGAAAAGTTCACCTTCTACAGCTTAGTATGAAAGAATGTACCACATGTACATTCTGTTTTGTCAGTGGAGACCCTTGTTTACATAAGAAGACAATACAGTTTACAATTTATGTGGACACATGATGTAAAGCTTATACTTCCATTTGTTCAACTGCATGGTCCTGTGTGCTGGAGTCCATATTTCTTCAGATGTTGGTCAAAATTTGTATAATTAAAAGTTAATTATAGAAATTATTTTACTAGGTAATAGGTGATAACAGGTGTCCCTACCTACCATAGTAATGTGCACATCTACCTAAGGTTTGGCCATATTAGGACTTTCACTAGCTTACAAACAGTAATTGATGAGAAAAAGAGATGAAATCCAAACTGGAAGCTGGCTCCATAGCTGAGGGGCATGAAAGCTGAAGGCTCTGCCTCCCATTCTACTTTTAAATACTCTAAGAACAAGAAGTACGCCCACAGTCTGAAAGCAAAGTGCTCTTGTGGAGTGGTTATAATACTACAAGGTCATTAAGATAAGATGGGGCCTGATTATTCAAGACCTTGTATGTGGTGAAAAGGATTTTAAATTTGATTAGGGATTTAACAGGCAACCAATGAAGAAAAGCCAATATAGGACAAATATGCTCTCTCTTTCTAATCTCTTTAGGTACAGTTCCTTCAGCAGTTTGGATAAACTGAAGGGTTTTAAGGGAGTTTTTAGACATCCTGATACGAACGAATTACAGTAGTCCAGCCACACACACACACACACACATATACATATATATAGATATATAATTTTTATATTTTTAATGTTTTTAAAGTTAAGCACTTCGATGAGTCCTTGACCTTCAACAACCATGACCTTCACCTTTAGCACAGTTCAGATGAAAAATCATTAGTGCATTAGTGTGTGTAACTTGGCCTCCTACAAGGAGGGATAGGGATTCTTATGAATGGACACTTCGCAATGACATAAATTTTGTCTTTCGGCTAGATAATCTAAAATGTTATTGTGGCCTGGAATTTTTCACTGCTGTGAACACACCTTAATATTAGTGAACGAAAAAAAAGAGAAAGAAAGAAAAAAAGAAACTAATGAGAGTTGATGAACTGCCCAAACAGAAGTAGTGGTCCAGGGGTGGTGGCTTAAAAGTATCAACAAGTTATGTTGACTGAAAACACAAAAAC